GAACAATACCTTCAGGCATACGTCAATTAATAGCAGGACGATTGGTGCGAATGATTACCGACGGCAGAATTAGCATACAATAACGGAAATGAAGAAACAATTAAGACGACACCCTTCTATGCAACCTATGGCCTACATCCGGAACACGAGATCATAGGTCATATGCTCAAAGGAAGAATAATAGACAAGAAAGATATGAGCCAACGACACGACATATTACGGACAGAAATCGTAACAGCACAACTGCGGCAAAAAGAAGAGTACGATCGTCACCGAAAACCCGATCCAAACCTAAAGTCAAGAGACAAAGTTTGGTTGATACCACGCAATATCAGAACTGCGCGACCAACAAAAAAATTGGCCTACCAGAAGATAGGACTATCTGAAATATTGGCAAGGATAGGAAGTCGCGCTTATAAACTCGACCTCCCACCATCAATGAAGATACACAATACCTTCCACATCAGCCTCCTCGAACCCTATGAAGATAATCCTCTACCTTCACAAGAAAAACTTCCTGCACCACCGATCGAAATAGACGGAGAGTCAGCATACAAACTCGAAGAAATAATCGACTCTCGATTACACTACGGTCGCTTGCCATACACAGTAGAGTGGACGGGATATTCACCAGAACATGACAAGACCTGGTACCCAGCAAACAACTTCGAAAAAGGGCAAAATGCAGTCCCGCAATTCGACAAAGATACCCAAAAAAGCCGACGACGGAAAGTCGAGGACACACCAGTGTCTGAGTACTCAGCGCCAACGCTACACAGAACCAATTCCTCCAAATGGGACCACGCCCAGGTCATATACCAACAATTGCCGATGCCGTCGGCCTTACGGCACGTTCCGGAATGCAAGGCGTTCAAACGTATCACACCGTCCAGTCCGGGGTACCGCACCCCAACAACGAGGCAGGAAACGAGTACTCTGATCAAGGCGGAATACACAGCCGAGGAATGGACAAATCGGATAGATCTACCGATCCAAAAAAATATCTACGACGGAAAGGGAACACGCGAACCTGTCATGGACAGGTTGCTATGACAACGAGTGCCAGGTGCACTATACGGAGAAAGAAGGCGCGGGATATTGGCCACGTGAGGGGAACCGATGGCCACCCAAGACCTCGCCCCTGGGATCACCGGCGAGATCTCCAACACCAGAGCAGGTAGCTTTGGTGCAATACATCGAGCCAACTCCGCAGACGGAGTCGAGGAGGAGGCGGGCGAAAAAACAGAAATGGGCAAAACCCAGGAGAACAGATGTCTCCTAGGAAGACAAGATGAGGAACAAGGAGGACTCAGAGGTCACGGAAACAGCAAGCGAGATAACGATGAAGTCATTGGCGGAGAAAGCGGAAACCAGCAAATTGCTGGAATACCAGGCCGACAGGATCGAAGAACTCAAGAAGGAGTTACAAGAAGAGAGCAGGATGAGGAAGGCCCTCCAGAACGACTGAAGGAAGGAAGAAAAGGAGGCCCGCCGAACCTTAGCAAGGATTGCAAAAGTCAACGCGTGGCTAGACAAGGAAAAGAAGTGGGGGCGCCCAGCCGAGAGGGCTTGGGGATTGGAGGAAAGACTGTTATAAGCCCGATGGGACACGGGCTGAGGGAGGAAGGAGCTAATGTCACAAACTGTGACTAAGCAAGGCAGATTTTACATAGCTTAGAATGCTAAGCTATAGGTATGTTGGAATTTCACATGACGCATACTAGTACCCCATAGGTTATTATGTTTACCTGTTCATGACTCACAGTTGTGAGTCATACGATGTTATGAGTTTCGCACATGACTCATATTATGAGTCATGGGTTTCACTCAGGTGACGCGAATTGCACACCTGAATGGGTTAGTATGTTTTGATTGGTTTTAGGTACGTTGTACAGCGACTCATAGGAGTCGGCTGATGGATTTCGCGTGACTCATAGTGATGAGTCACCAGATTTGGGTCACGCAAAAGTATGAGTCACACCAGGTAAAGAGCTACTATATAACGGGACACTAAGACCCCTAAGTATTAGCTCTTCACACGTTCTTCTTGTTTATTTCCTACCTTTAAGTTATAACAATAAAACCTACCTTTACGCTCTTTAAGATTTATCTTAAGAAACCCAAGAATTGTCTTTCCTCCCAAGCGAGAAAACTATTTCTCATCCCATGAAGTACAAAGAAGTCCTAAGCGAGGACTCGAGGAGATTAGAGGAATAGGTGGGATCAGATAGAAGTTAGCGGACTTGACTATCGCTCTAGCGTAGGCATAGGCCTAACAACTATTACCTCTCCCAAAGTAAGAATCGTTACCTGTCGCAAGCTAAATACCCGGTAGGATTCTTAACACTCAGCCATGATGCTGCAGCTGCTGATGCCCCAGCGGTAGAATATTTCCAAAGTATTAACGTACCATCAATTCCTCCATCGTGCCTGCGACTCAAGACAGGAGTTCCTTTAATTCTTATCCGCAATTTGAGTCCGAAGCAGGGGATGTGCAATGGTACAAGAGTTAGGTTATTGGATATGAGTCGAAACTGTCTCAAAGTTGCCATCCTTGGTGGCAAGTGGGATGGTCAAACTCGGCTTTTACCGCGAATCAAGCTGACTACAACGGACGAAGATCTGCTGTTCATATTAGAGCGTAAGCAGTTTCCAGTTCAGCTTTGCTTTGTGATGACAGTGAATAAATCTCAGGGTCAATCATTGGAGCATGTTGGCGTTGATTTGTACTGTGGTACATTCACACATGGACAACTCTATGTTGCCCTGTCACAAGTAACTTTGCTAGATGGCCTCACACTCTTGCCATCTAGCAATACTGCTGCTGTAACAGAAAATATAGTATATCCTGAGGTACTACTTAATGGCGACTAAGGATAATATACTGGCCATTTGGATTGTCAGGCCGGGTTAACTCTCATATTCTCGCAATATGATTCATACTCAATCGGGCAACTGAGTACAGTACAGCTTGCTGTTAATGGTACATTTATATTTCATGTAATTAATTCTTTTTTTATATTTGTATATAAATCTAGCTTCTGAGAAATGCATAATCCTATGATTAAATATATCTAGAGTTTGGTATTGTACTAAGGAAATCAATCCTGCTAGGTAAGGTTCATTCCTCAATTTCTATTATGATATAACATACTCAATCTCTATCTGGATTGAGGTCAACTGAACTTTTTATATACAGAACAAGGCTAGCCACAAGATTTTTTTCTGTCAAGTTAAAGGGATACATGCATCCAATATAATATTTAATTTATAACTATTTCTGACTATTCAAACACAAGATATTGTTCTTCAAAAAAATATGCTCTGGATTCTTATATATCTAATTGCGCAAAATTCAGCTTAGTAAGCTTAACTATTGTATTGTGGAAAAGTCAGCTTAGTAACCTTAGCTATTATATATAGTCACAAGCTATATACTAAATGAAAATAAGTTTATTTGTATATAGAATAATATTAAATTTCTCATATTTATATTTGACCATAGTAGTTATATTCTTAAGGTCTTAAGAAGTCTACTAATTCTAACTTATATAAACTAAATATATATATACCCTTCTGGACTTGATAGGGATAGCAACAGAAATTATAAAGTCTTTTGACAGCGATAACCTAGAACTCAGGACAGTACTGGTAACTAAGTCCTCATACCAAATCAGCCCCATATCCTAAGAACAAACAACGAAACTACAAACAGTATAACAATTACCCTTACTCAAAACTCTCCCAACATGAAGTCAGCCCAACTACAAAATTGCCAATAAACCACCATACTCAAACTACAAGGATACATCCTCAAGGTCTTGAGGAGGGCAGTTTCACAAACTCTGACTAAGCAAGGCAGATTTTACATAGCTTGGAATTCCGAGCTATAGGTATCTTGGAATTTCACATGACGCACACTAGTGCGCCATAGGTTATTATGTTTACCTGTTCGTGACTCACAATTGTCAGTCCCACAATGTTATGATTTTCGCACATGACTCAGAACTATGAGTCATGGGTTGCACTCAGGTAGCGCGAGTTGCGCACCTGACTAGGTTATGATGTTTTTAATTGGTTTTAGGTACGCAGTGCAGCGACTCATAGGAGTCGTCTGATAGATTTTACATGACTCACAGTTCTGAGTCACAGGGATCGTGTGACGCAAGGTATGAGTCATGCAAGGTGAACAGCGAGTATATAAAGGGGTCACTAGGACTCCAAGTACGAGCTCTTCACACGTCCTTCTTGTTTATTTCCTACCTTCAAGTTATTACAATAAAACCTACTATTACGCTCTTTAAGATTTATCGTAAGAAAACTCGAGAATAGTCTTTCCTCTCATAGGATAAACTATTCTTCATATGCGACACATGATTAAGTCCTAAGCAAGGACTTAAGAAGATTAGAGGAATAGGCGCGGTAAGATAGAAGTCAGAGGACTTGACTATCCCTATCGCATAGGTATAGGCCTAAGAGCTATTACCTTACCCCAAGACAAGAATCGTTACCTGTCGCACCCCTATCCTGGTTAGGATTCTTAACAGGCAGCTAGTAATATGATACCGTCACCATAACTACGGCGGGGCCCGGAGTCGAACACGTGACCTTATGCATTTAGTCACGTGCCGTACCGATTACGCTTTTAAGTATAACACCGAGGTAGGTGTATTGTAAATATAGGGCGAAAATGGTAGTAGCCAGGCACAATCATCCTGCTCATAAGAACACTAAGTTCTTCAGTACTCTTCCAAGGTCTGGTTTACCAACTCAGTCTACCCATCACTCTCAGGGTGGAAAGCAGTCGACAACCCGAGTTTCAGTTGCAACTGTTACATCAGACTCATCTGAATCTTAGATGTAAATCGGGTATCTCCATCACAGATAATAGATTCCCAGACCCCAGGGAGCCCCCAAATCTCCTTCAGGAATATCAGAGCCAAATCCCTAATGGGAATTTCTGTCCTCAAAGGTAAAAAATGACCCATGTTTGGGAACTAGTCCACGATTACGGCAATTTTTATATAGCCCTCTGATTCTGGTAGTGCTACGATGAAGTCTATTGAGATGTCTGTCCACAGTCTCAACAGTACTCCTACTGGTTCCAGCAAAGCAAACTTCTTATGCTTAATGGACTTGTTTGGTTGACTGGTATCACATGTAAGAATATAGTCCGAAATAGCCTCATCCATCTTGGGCCAAACGAAGTTACTCCTAACCCTGCCTACTGTCTTGTATGTCCCAGAGGGTTTCGCGATATGGGAGTCATGTTTGGTTTCCATGATCTTCTCCTTCAGATCCAGTGAGTCAGGAATGCACCACCTATTCTTGTATAGTAGGCGATCTCTCTCGATGATCAAGTTCTTGTATAGGAGAGTATCCCTTTCTATAGTCAGATTTCGGTCGACTTCTTTCTCTCCCACTATCATAGCCTTCAAGGCCCTCATACAGGTGGGATTCTTTCTCGCAGCAGTAGGTAATGCATCCAAGAATGCTGACTGTAACCGGTAGCCTTTACCGGCAGCCAACGAACAAGGACATAAGAGGTCTCCCACATGTCTGACAAGCGATTGTCTGTGGCGAGAAAATGGCCTTGGTGTCTCTGAGAGAGAATTACTTCCTCCTTCAGGGTGCTGGTCGCCAAACCTGGACAGTACATCAGCCTTTGTATTGAGCCTCCCTTCAGGGCAAGCTACGTTGAAATTGAACAGCTGCAGGAATTCTGTCCTGCAATACTGCCTGTGGTTGAGGGTCTTAGTACTATTAAAGTATTCTAAGTTCTTATGATTGCTATAAACTCAGATTTCACCCTCTACCGACCTAAATAGATGTTCCCATTCCTTGAATGCTGCGACTATGGCAGTCATTTCCTTGTCATGTTCATCATAATTGATCTCAGCTGGGTGGAACTTTCTACTATGAAAGTCCACTGGGTGCCACTTCTCATCTTGACAGAACTCAGACAGAATAGCACCTAATGTAAAGACACTCGGATCTGTCTCCAGCTTAGTCTGGCGGACAGGAGCGAAGTGTGCTAGGATTGATCCTGAGGGGAAAGCCCTTTTCAATTCAAGAAAAACCTTCATACAAGTAGGAGACAAATCAAATCGGACATCATTCTTAGTAAGGTCTATTAAAGGTTTCGCTATCTTGCTAAACCCTTCTATGAACCTTCTATAGAAGTTAGCGAAGCGCATAAAACTGTGGACTCAGACGACGCAAGTTGGTGGTTTCCAATCTCAGATGGTGTCCACCTTCTTCCTAGTCATAGATATCGCCTTTTAGGATATCCTGTAACCTAGGAACTCAATTTCACTCTTATCTGAGAATGACTTCTTTATGTTTGCAGTTAGTTGATACTTTCATAGCCTTTCCATTACTCGCCTAACCAGGAAGACATGTTCCTCTATCTTCAGAGAGTAAATCATGATGTTGTCCCTATAACCGACTACTCCTTCACTCCGCATATTTCGAAATATGTCCTTTATCATACTCTGGAAGGTGCGGGGAGCGGTGCATAGCCCAAAGGGCATCACCTGAAAGTGATGTAACCCCATTTCACTGCCCAAGGCGGTGAGTTCCTCATGCAAGTGTGTATCTCCTCTTCTCCTTTCGGCCATCCAGATTCTCCAATATCTATTTTTTAGGTCTATTAAGCTATACACTCTAGCTTTCGAGAGCCTTCCTCGCAATTCATTCATCAACTGGAGCGGATATTGATTCTTTACCGTGATCTTGTTTAGTCCACAGTAATTTATCACTAATCTTAAAGCATCATCAGGTTTTGGTACAAAATGTATACGGGCCGAGGATGAGGAAGTAGATGTTGCTATCTTCCCTGTTCGTAAGATCTCATTTCTGAATTCAGGGAGTGCTTGTCACTCCTTCTCTACTATAGGATAGAGAGGTCTAAATGGAGGGGTACCTGTGGGAATTAAATCAATTCAAGGGTTATACTTTGTATGTTCCGGTAACGTCTCTATTCTCTCTTGACTAACAATATCTCCGAAGTCCTGCTAGTTTGGTAGAAGCTGGACAGTGATATCTTCGCCAGGATTTTCCTAGAACTAGACGGTCCCGAGAAAATATACATTTTTGGAATCTTCGGCTAATAGTTCTTTATCAGTCATATAAACTAACAGCCTCTGCTTTGTCAGGCAATTCGCCTTTCAAAAGTCTATACACCAGGTCAGCGATCCTACTTTGTAATCGATGTCTGGGTTGTGGCCGTTCAACCATGACATAGGTAGATAGCCATCAACACGGGTGTCAGCTATATCTTCTACCTTGAAACGCATACCGTTCACCTGATCGCCTATCTTCAGATCCAATGACTTGCTATAATGAAGACCCGATCCTGGTATGTAATTATCACTTGCATCACCTATTGGTGTGTGAATCCTTCTTCTTACACAAGAACCCTGGGTACTTTTAACCCATTGACTACAAAGCGTGGGGCCAGTAGCTCCGCTGTCTACATCAGGGAAAATAAATCCTGCGTCAGACGCGCAGGCGTCCCGTTTGGACGCATGGTGGTTTTCCCCTGCATCCCCTACGTCCTGTGCGTCTGGTCTTGCATTACAACGGCCAGCCGCATCCACTGTATGCTCCATTTCAACCCCCAGTTTATCCCGTCATCTGCGACGCCTCCCATGTCAGGCCGGCCTGACGCCATCCCCACTTACCTCCTACATTTCAGTCCATTCCGGACGCCTGTATCCACACCTTCTTCCTCTGTCCTGTTGTGACGCATGCGGCGTATCGGCTCGTCTCAGGGTGGCGATACCCTATTTTGATACCCGGTGTCCCCCCATCTGGTTCACGTCGTCCCATTCTCTGGCATCTGGACTCAGTCCACATCTCCCCCAGGAGCTTTCACCTCACTGGGAACTCCTGACCCCACACTTCTACTTTCAGAATTGGGTCCTACCAATTTCAGGACTCTGTATCTCTTGTAGGCTGCCATTTGCCGCCACTCCATTTCCACTGTGAATGTCAGATCTGGATCAAGTTTATTTCCATTTTATGACTTCCGAATCTATGTACATTATGCTATCTAGGGAGGGTTACAACTCCAAGAGCTTCCCGTTATGTGATATCCATGCCATAGCCCTCCTTCTCGCCCTTATCTTGCCTTAAGCGCCTAAGTCCCATATGCTGAATGCCGTCAATTCCTAGGTGTCCCAGCCCAAGGCCCATACTATGAGAACAGGATGCAAAGACCGGTTTTGGCCCTGTGCTGCATCATGCTTCCCGTGGGATCGAATACTGGCTGAGCGATTTGGCAAATCGTTCGATATATTTCATTCAACATCCGGAAAGCGAGCGGACTATTAACAAGCCAGCGCTGTTCTGCATCCTGGATCATGTGGGTCAAGCTGGTAATGGTGCCAATATCTACTATGGTAAATCTTCAGGCACCCTGTTTGAGCTGTATGGTGATGAGATCATGAAACTGGGATGGGCGTCCTGAGTTAACTATACTCAGGAGTTGGACACAAGCGCGTCAGTAAACCCTATCGCCCTGTGTGCAGTCTCAGAGTTTGAAGAGCACCACAAGTTTCCCCGGCAGGTATCCTCCTAGCGCACCATACATGTCCTCCCCACCAGTCTGTACCCAAACCCAATCATTACGGCTTCCCGGTTTCCGAAACGACTCATCTCCTGTGGATCGCGCCCGGTGTATGTCGTAAACATCTCTTTCCTGAAACCCCGGAACAGGCATTTCAAGTTGTGTTGGGAGCTCGACCGGAAGATACCGGAGTACCGCAGGATCTTCCGGAAGCTGGTAGTCAAGGGGCAGGCCTTAACGGCTATATCAAATCAATTCCTCACAGAGGTTGTCAATCGAGGTACCCAAGACATTGCAAAAATCTGAAGCAGCAGAAACATCAGCACGACGTCCTCTCTGGACCCTACGGTGGGTCCCTGGTATGGCTTGTGGTCTCGCCGGGTCCAATAGTTTACCAACGTCAGCCGGGATGTGGGCCCTGCAACGTGGTAGGAAACCTAGGTTCAGACCCTGCATTCGGATCGAGTGTTGTTGGCCGTAGCTGTGGAGTATCTGCCGCGCAGCATCATTTTTAGTCAAGCATCGCCATCCGTCTGTAATGTGTTCCTTATGGGACAGCTCCCCAACCTCGGTAGAATACATTGGAATGTTGCCAAACCGGGTTACGTGATTGTAAAAGAGAGCAAGTAGATGCATCATGATAAAACGGAAATGACTTTCTGTATCGATCAAGTCCAAACGCTGGTCATCTTCCATCTCACATTGCTGCACTCCCTTCTGGAACTGGTTGGAGTTCGCGTGGGCTGGTGATGGTGCTACAGCTGGTCTGCGTTGTTCTCTCCCTTGCTCCCGAACCTTTGCTTGTGTGCATTTTGATATCCAAAACTCGAGGAAAACATCCATCGTCGCATGGAACTGGTTGAGATGATTTTGCCTATAATCTAAAGTCTCCTGTGTATGGCTTTGGTATTGCGCCATTAAACTTAAATCGAGTAAATATCTAACGTACGCGAGGGCGTGTTTGAAAGGTCCTACTTGTGTACTGTCGGGTTGTCTCAGCGCCACTGCAAGCACTCCCAGAAGACAGCGACCCAGGTTCCTCATCTCCTTTCCTCACCATTGCGTAACCTTGCGGTACGCTGTTTTATTCGGAACAAAGAACCCCGGATACGCTGGTAAAGCCTTTCAGGCGTCGTTAAAAGCTTGACTTCTTGTATATTTCTGGAGAAATAATTGAACCCAGTCCATCATGTGCTTAAATAGTCCGAGGTAAACTGTATGGACCAAATCTGGTTTGTATAGATTGGGCGCCGAAATACGTGGAAGCCCATGAAAGACGTTTTGTCCAATCTTGACGCCAAGACCCTCAAAGGTGCTATTGATGTCGTTGGCCAGGGAGTCTGTTTCATGATCCAGGCTTCCTTGTTGTAGTGGTTCGTATGTCGCGTAATCCCTCGTGCAATACCTGTTTTGTATCAGGGATCCTAACCTATCCGGAGGCACCTTGCACTTCGGACAGGCATTAGATTTTACTCCATGTAGCGCGACATTTTCCCTATGATCCGCCGTCCAAGCCATCAATATAGGGAAGTACCTACGGACTCTCCCATCTGCGCAGTCAACCGGGACGCCCGCTTGTGCTGCATCTTGCAAGGCCTCAAATATTAGCTGGAATACGCATTGTAGCATATCGAGATTGATTTTTCACTAGAGTATATTTGCGGAAGCGGAGTTTGCCAGTTTGGGGGACACAGGCAAGAGAACGAGAAGGAGAACTGCCATTGATCCAGATCGGTTACGCATGGTTGACGGCAGATTCCCAACCGTGATATATACCGGCCATGCCTTCTGGTCGCCAGAGAACTTGCTGAGGTGCGTCTGATCCGACATCCCAATAATAGGGCTGACAGTGGCACCATGCGGAATGGCGTCCTGCGATCTGTTAGCTTCAGCTCCCGCCAACAGTAGTTGGGTAACAATGTGGCACTGTACTTAGGTGTCCCACTACCAGTCCACTGTCTGCATTTCGGCATATACCCTCTGAGCATTGGCATCATAGTCACGCCACGGCACGTATACAAGATCATCGGTATATGTGATCTGGCGCAGAACATATCTGACACAGTCCAGCACATTACGAAAGAAAAAGGGCAATCTTCTCGTGCCATCGTCAACTTAGCCTTCGAACTATTGCAGACAAGGACCATATATATCAAATTGCCGAAGGCGCGCCTCCAATGTATACATCCAGGTAAAGCGTGCGGAGGCGGATATGCTGAGACCTGTTGAAAAGTACTCGTTGATTCGTGACTTTGGGACTTTAGACCGAATAAACCAGGAGGTGAGTTTGAACTCATGTGGCGTAGAGAATGGGGCCCATGGGTCTGCAGACAGATTATAGAGTTCTTCTTCAAATCCCTCCACGTCCCCTATTGATTGCCCAGCGCCTGGATAATCCACTCGTCGAGTAGCTGACGAAGAAACCCTGTCAACCTCGAGTGGCTCCCTATTGGACTCACATGCACCGTTCAAGTTTGATCTACCGGAATCGCATCCACTGCTGCTCACTGCTGATTCATATTCTGAATCGAGCTGTTCTTTCTCGGCTATCGTGTCGTCTTGGTTAGGTACGTCTGCTTCGCCGCTGGCGACCTGAGTGAGATCTGTGGGGGCAATGCGCCACCCAGTAGACACGAGAATGATGGCTGAATTTGAATGCGCCGTTTGGAGGGATTTCTCAAAAGGGCCTGCACGAGCGTACCGGCGGCGACAAAAAGAGCACTTGATAGGCATGGTCATTGGGAAGCCAGCAGTTGAGCTGAATTTTGAATAGGTCCAGAGATGCGTGACGGGCTGTTTGCTCGTAGGCATGCTGGCGGAGGAAAGTTCAGGCGCTTGCCCCTTCAGGAAAGACGGCTAGTACAGGTTCCGGTCTAGCACACTGAATCGCGACATGAAGTAGGAGCTGGTGCATGTTCTTTCTAGCGACCGAGTTTCATTAGCACTAGTAGTTCCTCTGAGTTTATAGTCTTGATTATAAATACCTATCGCATGGTTTTATTATCCAACTTTCGTACCGTGCCAGCCACAACGTCCCGAACATGGGAATATAATTCCCCGCTTGTTGAAAAACAGATGCCTTTACATGTTGACTGTCGGGATTTCTGATTAATCAAGTGAACTGCCCACCCCGGAATAATGCCGTACTACTAACTATTTACACTTATTTCTAACGCCCACAACACACAAATCCTTCAACCATTCCGCCCATTTGAATAAAGCAAGACAACATGGCGCAAGCCCCCATCAACTTCCAGTACATCCACATGCTCAACATCGGTAAGGGAAAGAAGAAACATCCGAGTCCCGCAGGGCAAGCGTACGTGCTTCCTGCGAATTCCCTTTCTGGAGAGGTTGACGCGCAGCACCCTG